CCCTCCCTATCTGATCCCATCATTCCCTGGATCATTCCGGGGGGGTGTGGGATCCCTCCCATCCCTCCCCTGTGGCTGATCCCATCATTCCCTGGATCATTTCGGGGGTGTGAGATCCATCCCATCCCTCCCTATCTGATCCCATCATTCCCTGGATCATTCTGGGGTGGTGTGGGATCCCTCCCCTGTGGCTGATCCCGGCATCCCTCAGATCATTCCGGGGGGGTGGTCAGATCATTCCGGGGGGGTGGGATCCCTCCCCTGTGACCGATCCCATCATTCCCTGGATCATTCCTGGAGTGTGGGGATCCCTCCCATCCCTCCCCCGTGGCTGATCCCATCATTCCCTGGATCATTCCTGGGGTGTGGGATCCATCCCATCCCTCCCTATCTGATCCCATCATTCCCTGGATCATTCCGGGGGGGTGGGATCCCTCCCCTGTGGCTGATCCCGGCATCCCTCAGATCATTCCGGGGGTATGGGGATCCCTCCCATCCCTCCCTATCTGATCCCAGCATTCCCTGGATCGTTCTGGGGGGGTGTGGGGTCCATCCCTCCCCTGTGTCCGATCCTATCATTCCCTGGATCATTCTGGGGGGGTGTGGGATCCCTCCCATCCCTCCCCCGTGGCTGATCCCAGCATTCCCTGGATCATTCCGGGGGGGTGGGATCCCTCCCATCCCTCCCTATCTGATCCCACCCTCCCATCCCTCCCTATCTGATCCCAGCATTCCCTGGATCATTCTGGGGTGGTGTGGGATCCCTCCCCTGTGGCTGATTCCGGCATCCCTCAGATCATTCCGGGGGGGTGGGATCCCTCCCATCCCTCCCTATCTGATCCCATCATTCCCTGGATCATTCCTGGAGTGTGGGGATCCCTCCCATCCCTCCCCTGTGGCTGATCCCATCGTTCCCTGGATCATTCCTGGAGTGTGGGGATCCCTCCCATCCCTCCCCCGTGGCTGATCCCGGCGTTCCCGCAGCCTCCCGGGCCGACCCCGTGCGCGACATCCGCTGCGAGTTCTGCGGGGAGTTCTTCGAGAACCGGAAAGGTCTCTCGAGCCACGCGCGCTCCCACCTGCGCCAGATGGGGGTCACCGAGTGGTCCGTCAACGGCTCCCCCATCGACACCCTCCGGGAGATCCTCAGGAAGAAATCCAAGCCCTGCCTCATCAAGAAGGAGCCGCTGGCGCCCGGCCTGGAGCCCCCCAAGGCGCTGGGGGAGGACGGGATGGATCCCAAGGCGCCGGCGGCGCCGGGGGCCGGGAAGGTGCTGCCGGGGCTGTCCCTGTCCCCGCTGGGCGGGAGGCCGGGAAAGCCGGGGGGGACCCTGGCCTTGACCCCCCTGGGATCCAAAAATCCCGGAGCGTTCCTGGCTCCCAAGCGGCCGCTTCCCGACGACCGGCTGGGCCCCCACGGGGAATCCAAGCACAAAGCCTTCGGCCCCCCCGAGCTGCCCTTCAAGGCCAAGGCTCTGCACGACAAGGCCTGTGAGTCAGGGGGATTCCTGGGGGGAAATTCCCGGGGGGATTCCCGGGGGGGGGATCCCTGGGATGGGCGGGATGGGAAGCGCGGGGAGGGAGGGGGAGGTTTGGGATCAGGGGTCCCCTGAGCCTCTCGAGTGGGGGGTTCCCTCTGTCAGCAGGTCCCCAGCTGACAGATCCCTCCCCCAGGGGTGATCCAGAGGTGGAATAGTTGGGAATTTGGATCCCGTGGAGGATTTTAAATACCATCCCTGATTCCCGTTATCCTGCTGCCTCCCTGAGGCTCTGGGGGTTCCTGTTCCCCCATTCCCTCAGGTGTCCCTGTCCCTGTGTCCCCCTGGCTATCCCATATCCCATATCATTCCCATTATCCAGCAGCCTCCGAGGCGTGCTGTGAGCCTGTCCCATCTCCCATATCCCATATCATTCCTGTTATCCCATATAATTCCCATTCTCCCTCAGCCTCCAAGGTGTGCTGTGAGCCTGTCCCATCTCCCATATAATTCCCGTTATCCCACAGCCTCGGAGGCTCTGGGGATTCCTGTTCCCCCATTCCCTCAGGTGTCCCTGTCCCCCTGCCTGTCCCTGTGTCCCCCTGGCTATCCCATATCCCATATAATTCCCGTTATCCCATATCCCGTATAATTCCCTGTTTTCCAGCCTCGGAGGCGTGCTGCGAGCTCTGTGGGCTGTACTTTGAGAACCACAAGGCCCTGGCTCTGCCATATCCCATATCCCATATCCCATAGCCCATAGCCCATATCCCATATCCCATATAATTCCCTCTATCCCATATAACTCCCATTATCCCATATCCCATATAATTCCCTGTTTTCCTGCCTCGGAGGCATGCTGTGAGCTGTGTGGGCTGTACTTTGAGAACCGCAAGGCCCTGGCTCTGCCATCTCCCATTTCCCATATCCCCTATCCCATATCCCATATCCCATATCCCATATAACTCCCATTATCCCATATCCCATATAACTCCCATTATCCCGTATAATTCCCTGTTTTCCAGCCTCGGAGGCGTGCTGCGAGCTGTGTGGGCTGTACTTTGAGAACCGCAAGGCCCTGGCCAGCCACGCCCGCGCCCACCTGCGCCAGTTCGGGGTCACCGAGTGGTGCGTGAACGGCTCCCCCATCGAGACCCTGCGCGAGTGGATCCGGCACCGCCCGCACAAGGCCGGCGCCTACCGCAGCTACATCCAGGGGGGGAGGCCCTTCTCCAAGAAATTCCGCAACTCCGGCCACGCCCGGGAGCACCGGGGCGGCCCCCTGGCCCTGCAGCCCCCCGGGGTG